GAATGTAGTGCATGTGAGAGGAAAATATTTGTTAACTATCGAGAGAAATTTTCAATTAAATTAGGAATACTGACTATCAAGATTGATTACAAATTGTCACTTTAATTCGTTGTTCCAAAAATGGATTAATAAGGAAAATTCGATATCTTAGCAATACTTTTACATATTTGAAATCGAACCAATTAAATTACTTTTTAGTTTAATCGATAATTTAGATATTAGTATAGAAAACTCAAAATCTATTTGCTATTCGATTAACTGTACTATTAATTTGAACTCGATCAAATACATAATTCTCGTGAGTTCGACACTTTATTCATCATTATATTATTTGACCACGATCTCATACACTTGCGAGTTTTCAAAGGACCAATCCACATTTATTATTTAATCACTGATTTGATACATTAAAAGAAAAAATTAAATGGGTTTTAGTCCTGACCTGCCCTCTCCCTTCGTCCCAACACCAAAAATGACAATGAAGTGAGGCCAAGTTGTAACTTATACATTAAAGAAGTAATGGATTGTGATATGGACAGCTCTATGGAACCCATGTGAGTTGAAGCTTTGTCCAAATTTGAGTACTTTGGTGCAACTCAAATATGCGTGGGAATGTTGGTTGGGATTATAAATGCGATTCAAAATTCTGAAAAAAAAATCTGTCATTTTCTTCTTGTATTTGCATTATTTTTCAAAGAACAATTTTAATTAAGGCACCATCCCACCTGGGGCCCTGGGCCCCCACTCATTTACCCTGGTAGTAATGTTATTTGGAGGAAAATAAAAATTATCCTTTTTTTCTCGATCTCGTACTATCTTTCAAAAAAAATTTCGTATATACGAAAATTATGTTAAAATTTCGAAGAAAATGATATTTTAGAAAGTTGAGTTTTTTCTTGATTTTATATCTATAATGTAAAGATTAAAAAAACAAAAAGAATAATGTTCGTTTTTATTTTATTTTCAACACTCATCAGTCCTCTTTTATTTTTTATTTTGTAAGGCTCTGCGTTGATTAAGGAACATTGTGGTACATTAGGAGGCAAGAAAATAGTATCTTTAATGTATGAAATAAAACTAGTGCAGACTGCTTATGAATCGGCCAAACTTTTATTACTGATTATAATTGGAAGCATTGTAATTATAATTTCCTACCTATCAAAATTTTAGACTATTTAATAAAAAATTGAAACAACGGGGTCCAATTTTGAAGTCCATTATTGATCTAGTTTGAGATTGATCGAATTTATTCGGATTAATTTTTTTATTCATTCTCTAACAATTTAAATGTTTAAATAAAGTGATTCAACAAAATATTATAAATAATCCATATATAAAAAGTTAAAACATTATTGTGCCTTTAATGATAATGATAAACCAAATGGCAAATACACATCTGAAAGAACTTTGAGACAAGATGGTTTAAGCACCTTCAGTAGGCCTATATTTTTTGAGGAAAAGACAAAGTTGGCTATAATTCATGTAAGATAAGGATTGGTTGATAGACTTGTGCTCCTAAATGCACACAATTTAAAGAAAAAAACAATTAGGACAAATAATGATGGATAAAACATGACTAAATCAAGGATTAACATTGGAAGATTTGGAATCTAACTATTTACTTCACTAAGTGAACCAACAGGGTCCAATGTCCCATCAACCCATCCATTGTGCAAGATTTTTCATATCAACTGCCTAGTGATCAAACTTTTTTGTGTATATAGTCTGACTTGAAATCATTAGGGGGCAAATACTTTTAGAAAGTCAAGAAAGTTTTATGAAGTTTGGCATGAAAAATTGCACCATTGTAATTAGTAAGGTTATCAACTTATTGGCATCCAATGTTAACATTGCAATGCAAAATCTTCTAAATTACTTGTGAAAATTATTCTTACTTTATTGTTTAAAATGATATTTTATTTAGAATATTTTAGATATCTATATAGTGAAAGATTTCTTCTTTTTTTCATCCAGTCATATCGTTCCTAATTTATTCAAAATCAACCATCTTTTGTGGGCATATTGAGGGTAGTAGAAGTGAGGAATTATAATATGATATTTAGAAGAACGGGATGATATGTTGGGAAATAAAACAAATCGAGTTAATATATATGATACGATATAAAGTATATGATTGCAAACAAACGACAAGATAAAAGATAAAAAATAAAGAATTAATTGGAAGATGAACAAAATGTTAAGGTCAATTCTTATTCATCATACTTTACTTCTAAAGTCTCCAAATCAGCGACGATCTCCAACCAGATGATCTTCCAAATATCCGCCATCGTCATGCGACGAGAATACAACCTCTGTTTCAGATGCAATTTGTTTGTCAAACATTTAATAATGCACAATTGCTCTAACTTTAATCACAACGCAAGTGCCGTTTTCTCTTTCAAAACATCTTAAAAAATATTGTTGGAGATATAAAGATGGATATGTGAAGGTACCTTCTAATCCTTCCTTGTTGTTTCTCCTTTGTCGTCCACTTGTGGGCATTTTGTCAAATCAAAACAACGCATCATCCAAATTCATCTGCGCGAGTACAGTTCGCATCTTCACTTGCCCCAATGAGAATCTTGTATTGTGATCAAAAAGCGAAATTCCATACTTCATGGCTTCCATTAATAACAAAAATATCGAACAAATCACAATCAATAACCCTAATACCACTTGTTGGGAAATAAAATGGACCAATGTAATATATATTACACGATATGAAATATATGATCGCAAACAAACAACTAGATAAAAGGCAAATAATTAATTGGCGATTAACATTGTATTTTATTCAATTGATTAATATTGAGAAAAATATATAATAACTATGCCTACATAATTATTCTACATTACAGTAATATAAAACTTGTAAAAAGAGTTTAGTATTTATAGGGGTACATGTCAAACCTTAGAAATACCACAAAGATGGAAACATGATAAAAATAATTACATTGAATAAAAGAAACAATATTTTTTCAATAAAAACACGTGGAAAGAAGGAAAGAAATATTTCCTCAAAAATCTAATCTAATTTGGATAAGAAAACACAACATGATATGCTTAGATTCTTAAATATTTCTTTTTGATAGCTAAAAACAATTAAGAGTGTATTCTTATTCTTATATTTAAAATAAATGTTTAATTTGATAATATTTCAATAAATATTCATGACAATTTTAAGAAAATACCTTGATAACAATATACTGTAATGCACGATGTGTATATTTACAAGGTGTATGTATATTGAGGAACAATCATTCTACTTGTATAACTTTCTTTACAACTTCACACTTTGCAGGCATCACACGTCCATTCATTTACAAATGGTTTTTAAAATCTACGGTATGGATTTTGACAACTCATTAGCTGTCAAATTAGTTATACAACTAGATTAATTCATC